CTGTCAGCCTGCCACGCCCGCGGACCAAAATGTCAGCCTGCAGGACCGCCCAGAAATGACCGTGCTTACCAGGTCAGGGTTGAGAGATTTCGGAACAAATGAACCGTCATTCGAAACGTGGACGATTATGCGATGCTTCATTCGATTGGTTCAGACTTTTGATGCTTCTTTTAACTGATTCAGATCCACGATGGTGTATTCGATGGGTTCAGACTTTTGAGGCTTCTTTTAATTGATTCAGATCCACGAAGCTTCATTTCTTTTGATTGATTCAAATTCAAGAAGCTTCATTTGATTGGTTCAGACATTTAATGCTTCATTTGATTGATTCAGGCTTTCGAAGCTTCTATTAACTGATTCAGATTCACGATGCTTTTCGACTGATTCAGGCTTCCAATGCTTCAGTTGATTGATTCAGACTTTTGAGGCTCCTTTCGATTGATTCAGATCCACGGTGCTTCTTTTGACTGACTCAGATCCACGATGATTGACTGATTCATACGCCATTCCATCCGTTAATCCTTTTTATCCCACAGGACTGTCGGCGGATACATGAACGATGACGAGGATTGGCTGGAGGAGGCCAACCGCCTTGCCGAGCTCATCGAAGCAAATGGCGAGACCGTCTCTCTCAGCCACATGTACTGGTGAGTGTAGTTTATTCAGGTGCAGTTGGTGGTTTTTTCTTTGTTTACATATCCGTGTTTTCGTCCTCCTTATCATCGTCTTTATTTTTTTTTCACTCATCTCCTTCCCTTTTTTTTCTCTACTATTCTTCCATATCCACGTCTTCACCCAACTCCTTGCATTTAATTGTTTTTTCTTTTAGATATCCGTGTTTTCGTCCTCCTTATCATCGTCTTTATTTTTTTTCCTCACTCATCTCCTTCCTTTTTTTTCTCTACTATTCTTCCATATCCACATCTTCACCCAACTCCTTGCATTTAATTATTTTTTTTTTATTTGTTTAGATATCCGTGTGTTTGTCCACCTTATCACCTTTATTTTTTTCACTCATCTCCTTCCCTTTTTCTCTACTATTCTTTATCTTCATTAATGTATTGGTTTAAGGAACATCTATGACGTATCTTCAGTGTGGGAACAATACGAAGATAATTTTCCCATCGTGTACCTGGGTATCGTGTACTGATGATACCAATATGTCTGCAAAGAAGAAGATTAAGTTAAGATTAAGATTAAGTTAAAGTAATTCTGTAACGAAATGAGAGGAAGAGAAAACATGAAACATTATTTTTTCTGAGGAATATGTTTTGTGCCAGCGCCATCTAGTCTAGGCGAGGTTAAGTCAAATTAGTAAGTTATATAGATTAGTGACCAGGCTGAGTGTGAGTCATCTCACGCCAAGGATAATGGCTGTAGGTCAATGAACTTTTTTTCGGGTTTTTGTCCTCAGGTTTAAAAGAAATATTCAGTATTATGGTAAATATTTTGCATTATGATGGGCTGTGTTTGATGAAATGTATTGAGAGGATTGCAATATAATTAGTATGTAAAAATGATTTGATATAACACAGTAAAGGTTAATTTCTCTAGAAAATGACAAGACTGCCGAATCTGAATCATTTAAGTAGTAAAGAAAAAAATTATATGAGTCACTGCCTTACATAGTAATTTACCAGATAGTGCAACTACGTCGTTTTCGCCCATCCGTCTATCTATAACAACTATCTATTTATATCCTATCAGTTTATTTTTATTTAGAATTTTCCAGGTATTCCGAATATTTAGCGATTTATTTACTTATTCCATTTCGCCCATCCGTCTATCTTTATCTATTTATATCCTATCAGTTTATATTTATTTGGAATTTCCAGGGCGATTTGTTTACTTATTCCATTCGCCCATCCGTCTATCTTATTTAGTTTATTTTTATTTAGAATTTTCCAGGTATTCCGAATATTTAGCGATTTGTTTACTTATTCTACTTTCCTTTCTCTCCGCCAGGGTTGGTTATGACGCGCCGTTCAAGTTCTGGAACCGCCGCAACGAGGTCTGGTTCGTCAAGAACTAAAGTCCGCTCGAGTTTCTTGTTCCAGGAAACGAAACAGGAACAAAATGAAATTAAAAAAACAAACTTTGGTGATTTACGAAGGAGAACAAAGGAAGATAGAGAGAAAATTGAGGCGCGGGAGGGACGAACAGTGCAAATCATCACATCATTTCATCATCTTCGACTGTCTTCGTGTGAATTATCTATTGAGATTACTTTGTGTTAGATGTGTCAGTGCATTTTGTAAGTGATTAAAGTATCATACTTATTTTGTGTTTATTAAATAACCAAAACGCATGGAGAAAACAAAGGCTTCATAAAAATCATTCTTGAAGACTTACGTAAGTCATTTTACAATGGCATGAGAATTATATAAAACATAAAAAAAAAGAAAAAAATGTCATCCGTGTGAAAAATAATGTATTTTGTTCAAGACTTACATAAAACTGATCTCAACCTCCTTTAAAGATTTTTAAAAAATTAACAGAAAACCGAACATGTTAAATAATAAATAGTTAAAAAAAATTCAAGCCAATTCTCATGACAAAAAAACAACAACGACAAAACAAAAAAAAATTGTGCAAGCCAATTTTCACCACCGATAAACACCAGAGACACAGCCACCACCCCAGTGCCCATTAATCCTGGGCATGTTTGACGTACCTGCCAGCGCTATCGCCAAGAAGTTGGGCATTTCCCTCCTTGCTCCTCCTGTCATGCGAGGACACTTCGGATTGCTCAACCCTTTCTTAGGTTTAAATGCACGGTCACCTTCTGGCACATGGGACTCTCGAAATTTTGTATTTATGTATTTTAGATGTTGTATGATGGTAGAGAATTTTGCTTGTAGTGTTAATGGGGTTTTGGATATTGTTAGATTTCGGGGAGTCGTTTCGGTGTATAGAATGTGCTGTGTAAGGGTTTGGATAAAAGATTTGTCTGTAATTGGTAGAAAATGTTAATAAGGCTCCCATGAATCATTAAATTGCATGTAATGATTTCTTTTTATGGCAAAAAGGTGAACAAATATCTCATGATTTTGAGGAATTACATTTCATGGATTTATACACAACCCAAAGGTTTCTAGAACATTCTCATGGTTTCTCTTATTATAGTTTATTAACGCTCTTGTCATTATAGTCATCATTATCATCATTATCATCAATTATCAATATCAGTAGTATCTTTATTACAATAATGATAATAATTGTTAGTATTATTACAATTATTATTTTTTCAATATTAATATCACTATTATCATTATTATCACTATTATTATTGTTATTATCACTTGTTATTGTATTATCATTATCATGGATATTATGACCACTATTATCATATTTAATATGTCATTATTATTTATATTATTAATATTATGGTTATCGTTATTATTATCATTATCATTATCATGATCCTCCTCCTCCTCCTCCTCCTCCTCCTCCTCCTCCTCTCTCATCATCATCATCATCATCATCATCATCATCATCATCATCATTGTTATTATTGGCATATCATTTTTTTTTTTTTTGTAAATGCAATAACAAAAATAAATGTCCGAATAATGTCTTATGATTGTCTTGTATTGACAACTGGCCTTTGCTTGTGGAGGCAAATGTGCTACAATGCTTACATACACAACAACACACACACACACACACCACACACACACACACACACACAACACACATACACACGCATACACACACACAACGCATACACACACATACACACGCATACACACACACAACACACACACACACGCACACACACACACCACGACCACGCACACACACACACACACACACACACACACACACAACACACACACCACACACACACACACACACACACACACACACACACACACACACAACACGCACACACACACACACCACACGCACCACACAACACACAGCACACACACACGCACACACCCACACACAACACACACACACACACACACACACACGCGCACACACATACACACGCATACACACACGCGCATACACACACACACACACACGCACACACACACACACACACACACCACACACATACACACACATACACACACATACACACACACACACACGCACCACACACCACACACACGCACGCACGCACATGTTATCCCACCAACATCCTACTTTTGTTTCGTCAAACACTAAATATACGTGGAAGCGGCGTTGTGTCCGTGAGGCGAATGGCTCGGCGGTGTGAGTTCGCATCCTCCATGAGCTAAATGAAGCCTAAAGGATACCAGGTGAAGGACACACACTTTCGTAACGAAATCCTTTTGAAGAGGACAACGAAGGGAATCTCTCAGTCTAGTTTTATTCCACAACGCGCTGACATTACTCCGAGAATCTCGAGGTAAGCTTGGGTCTCGCGAGGACTTCACATCCAGTGGCGGGAAAGTTTTTAAGCTCGTTATTAGTTGTGTATCAGACTGTTGTTGTTGGCGTATGTCGTGAAAAAAATATTTATTTGTATTTTGACTCTCGTGACTTACTGGGTAAATCTAATACTTTAATTTTAGTAACTTGGTAACTTGGTAAGCCATACTTTTTCACGTTCGTTATTAGTTTTGTATCAGACTGCTGTTGTTGGCGTGTCGTAAAAAAATATTTTATTTGTATTTTGACTCTCTTGACTCTGGGGAATCTAGTACTTCATTTTAGTAACGTTAAATCACACTATTTTTTTAAAAGTTCGTTATTAGTTGTGTATCAGACTGTTGTTGGCGTTTGTCGTAAAAAATTTATTTTGTATTTTGACTCTCGTGACTTACTGGGTAAATCTAATGCTTTAATTTTAGTAACTTGGTAAATCACTCTATTTTTTTTTTTTTTCGTTATTTGTTGTGTATCAGACTTGTTGGCGTATGTCGTAAAAATATATATTTATTTGTATTTTGACTCTCGTGACTTACTGGGTAAATCTAGTACTTTGATTTTAGTAACTTGGTAAATCACACTATTTTTTTTAA